TGGGGGGGGGGGGGGGGGGGGGGGGGGGGGGGGGGGGGGGGGGGGGGGGGGGGGGGGCGATTCCTGATAACTCGAACTTCGGATAACTCGAAACGATTTGCCCGGTCCCTAAAAGTTCGAGTTAACGAGTTTTCACTGTACAAATATACAATATATAAAAGCTTTCATGTGTGACCCTTTCCATGAAATCACATCCTGAGTGCCCTATGTATGCATTTTCCAGATTATATTAGGCAGAAGTCCAATCAAGTTTGGCTACAGTCATCTCGCTTTCAACAGATCATATCCTTTTGCCAAAGTTTCTGTTTCAATTTGACAGCAGTACTTCAGTTTTTTGGGAGAGGTCCTTTGATTTTGGCAGGCCAGTTTAAAAAAGGTGTGGGATTAGACTGTTGCTGTCGATCCTTGGGATTTTCCTCAAGAATGAAGCAGATGTTGTTGTTGACCATTGTTATCCACATTTTTATTGATGGGCTGAAATGAAAACAGGTCTACTGACATGAGGTCCAAAAGCTGGAAAACTGGTCCATGTACATGGACCACTTTTCCCTTCTGAATTGTGAAAACTAAAATTCCCATGTTGACCAGTTGTCCATGTTCATGATAGGCTGAAATTTCTTTACATTGGTGTTGATGAAGAACGTGTGATACATGGATAACATGCTCTATTCCCAGAACTAAACTTGTGACATGGGAACATTCACTTCTTTCATGCATTCACTGCATATTATGCTCATTCACCAGAAATAGGAGATATCCTGATGCTACTGAAATTAAAAGTACTCTTGCCAAAATTGGATGAGAAGAGCACTGGTGAAATTGAAACAACAGATGTCAAATTTGAAACAGCTTGTGTCAAATGTCATTAAAACTTTAGAAAAGCAATATTTAAAGGATACGCCTCATTCATGATTAGTTTGCTTGTTGAATCCTTCCATATAGCAGTTCAAGACAATTCATTTTAAAATTCTGCTGTTTCATTCTTGTGTCTTGATTTAGTTTCATTTTACCTTTTATGAATGAGCCATTTTCCTGAATAAGTACTTTCTCTCAGCTGAAAGATCTCATACTTGCAGAGCTGGCACATTTGGCTACCTTTTGGACTGTGGTGTTGACAAGAAAATCTCTGACTATAGTTGGTTGGGCGCTTCTCTGATCTTTGGCATTCCCACTGGTGTACTTCTTCGTGTCAAGTGAGTTTTTAGTCTTTTTTGATGGTCTTTTTGTTTTACTCTATTCCTGCTAGAGGAGAAAGAATAGCTAGAGAAGAGGTACCCAGCGTTGCACAGGTGAATATTGTATATGTCCCATATTTGAGGGTTTATTTTATTTTATTATTATTTTATTGGTTTTATTGGTTTATTTTATGTTGGTTTTATTGCCTCTCTGGCAAAACCCAACTAGAAATTGTTAAAATATTTAGCTTTTACTGCACAACCAATTACAAAATTCCAGTAGCAAGCTGCATGTTACAACTTAATTTTTTTTAATGAGCCCCCAAAATGTTGACTCATTCTGTCTGTAGTAGTGAATTGGCCGAATCTACACTAAATAAGATACTGCGAGGGTCCTGAATTTGGAAACGGCACCTAACCTATCCCCGGACCAAATGAGGAAGAGATGCAAAGTTTGGTCGGACTGGGATCAGAGGCGTGGTCATGCATAAAGGACAGATACACACACACACACACACAATCACAATCACAATCACTTTGAAATATAATGGTCTAGATTTCTTCTACAGGCCACAATTAGCACCGGCCAATGGTTGTGATGGAAAAATTGGTCCACCAGCCAATTGTTGCCACTGGTACAGCCTTAATATTATATGATTCCCTTTTGCATTGACAATACGTATTAATGCATTCTGGTCTAGATGCAGAATATCCGTGGTCCCACCCCAAAGGCAGGAATTGAAAAAAGAAAAGCATAAAAATTTTTGCCCAACTCGACCCAAAGAGGAATCTTTTGAATTTTGGCTCAAAATGGCCCATGGGTTGAGTCAGGGTAATTGGGCCAACCTACAGCCCATGCAGGGCTCTAACTTAGAATTCTCATGTCTATATCCCTGATTATAGTTAGGTGGCTGCATTGGCTTTGTTAAAGTTCTTGAAAGTGTACTTTCTTTTAGCTAATTGAAGTTCAGTAACAATGAATAAAATGACTTTTCTCATACAGTTTTGTGTCATGCTATATGGAAGCTTTTTTTGTAGTAAATCATTGTCAAATCATCTACGATCCCATCACCATAACATCAACAACTAAATGAGTACAAGCACTATACATCTTTTGCGGAAATGCAGGTATCATGTTATTTTAAAGCATGATTGTAGCTGTAGTGAAATGCATTCCCTGTTGCTGTGTTACTCTGAGCTGAAATTACAATAATTTTTACTAAGCTAGTTCTGGTTAAGTAAAGACTTGGCCATGGAGCCTGGGTTCTCGGAGAACTGCTAGTCTTTTAGAATTCCAAACTCTACCCAGTTCATAAGACAATGAATAACTGCCATCTTCAGATTGAAGAAGCCTGCTACACAGCCCTCTTTTACTGTTTTGAGGCATAGGAATATAATTTTTGATTTTGTTGCAGATTGACAAGGTCAACGCAGACTTACGAGTGCAATATGGCACTTTGTGAAGAAGTTCTTCCAGCTCCACTTCTGTATGGGTCCTTAGTGCCTCTTATTATGTACCAAGTGCTTAAAGCATTAATTATTGACCCATACCAACGTGAGGAGAAGCAGAGACACGTCCTGAAACACAAGGAGGCTCATGCTGCAAGGTTAGAGACCTAAGTTCACTCAAGTTTATATATTATGTGATTGACCTTGGCACTCAAAGTTTCTAAGGTGTGGTCAAAATCCTGAATCCTTTTGGAGGCAGTAAACTAAAAGGGTCAAAAGGTAACAATGTTCATAAGATAAGGGTCACTGCAGATGATGATAAATGGGATTTATGATATTCCCAATGGAGAGTTTGTCAACTTATGGCCTCCTTTTTATGGCTCTGTCCACACATTTCCCATCTTTAAAACTTATGCATGCTTAACCTAGTGCCTTGCTACTTTGGAGGGTTATAAAATCAGGCCTTCTTCAATCAACTCAACTGACAGGTGCTAATCTGCTTTTATGGAGGTCCTCCAAAAGGCATGAGATGCTGCTGCACAAGGGTTCATGATTTCAACTTTGCCTGGAGTTGGATACAACTCAAGAATACCACATCTGGGCCTCTCACGTTGTCTATGATATGCCTTCCAACATTTTACAGTCAATTCTCAATATACTGCCAATGTTTGTCTCATTTGATGCTATATCGAGGGTGGCACTAAATCAAAATGCATGGCTTTAAAATATTTTTTTTTTACATTTATATTTAATTATGCACAAAAATCACTTTAATTAATCCATGCTACCAATGGCCCATGCCAACTACACAGCTTTGAAAAATTATTCTATTTATTCTGTTAAATCCAATCATTTCTTATTTTTAATTATTATAACTCCTCTGCACTGTCTGCTCACATTATTGTCCCAAAACACTGAAAAATTGTCTGCAAAGATTTGCAGACTTTTGACCAAATGTCTCATTCCAACGGCACACTTCCAATTTTTTCTTCAGACTTGAAATTGTTCTTTTCTCCATCACTGGATGGCGAACAAACTTGAACTGTTGTCAGGAGAAGCTGCATATAATCTTAATGAGTTGTTTCCATTCTCCAAGAGAAGAGACAGGATTAGGCCAGAAAAGGCAACCCCATACAAGGCATGCACCCCTCTCTAATCTCTGGAGGTCTATCCTAACACTAGGTCATCCCTCATAATCTTGCTACCTATCATGCAACTGAAAGGAGCAACTGGCAGCATTACTTGTTGTACTCAGTATAATGATTGTGGCTAGTAAAGTATGCTGCTTGATGTAACATCTTATAAGACTTACATAGAATAAGACATTTGTGCAAGTGAAGGTGTTGGCAGATGGTGGCTAGCAAGGGTGGCACTATAATGGGGAAGCACTTATGGTAAACCTATGGGGAAGATTCATTCTTTGGAAAGAGTTGGCGATATGCAAGACTGGCAGTATATGAGGTGGCTGTACCTTGAGGGTTGATTGTACCTCTTTATCTCTTATCCTGAAGGTACAACATTTTAAGTTTTATCAGGCCTGTTCAGAATGTGACAGGCATGTACAGAGGAAGTTGCTGATTTTTGAGTTGTGTTTTCAGAACCACAGGTTGAGTTTAATATTTTTGACTATATATGTGACTATGTTTAATATGTGCTCATATTCAACATATAGTGCAAAATGGGCCCTGCAATATGGTGCCTATGTGATCAGGTGCCCTTCACATTGGATGCTAACCCTGGAACTTTCAAAATCCTGATGGTTTTCAACTCTTTGTTTCATCTCTTCTTTCCCAAAGAATCTCTTTGAAATACTTTGGTCTCAATAACCTGGAAGAACAGCACTTGAGTATTTCCTCCTCTTCACTGGCAGAAGGAGCTTTTTTTTCACTCAGGTCATTTCACTCAGGTCACCTGAGAAGCTGAAAAAAAAAAAACCTTCCAATGATGCTAGGAATACTCAGGTCGGTTGTGTACTTCTGGCTGTAGACCCCTAACAAAAGGTTTATTGGCACCCAGTATATGTCCATGCATTTTCCAGACCAAAATTGATCTTACCATGCTGTTTCATAGGCAAAAGGAGCACAAGAAAGAAGCTGAAGCAGCTTTAGAGCTGATGAAAGAAACTGTGTGGAGAATCATTCAACAGGAAGAGTCTTGCCAAGGATTGATTATAGTCAAAGCTTTGTATGGCTGTCATGCATCACAGCTTGGTACAGGGTGAGTCTCATTTGCCTTGACTTGAACATCTGATATTAATAATCCTTAAAGCCAGAGTCAAAATGGGATTCTTAGTGTTAATAACCCCAGGCCTGGATAAAAGTAATGTAAACATAACATTATATAGGATCATGTGTTTTCCTGTAAAGGTATTAACAATGATGGGTCAATTTAGTTGTCCCAATTTTGGACAAAAAAAAAGTCATCTCACAGATTCATTGCTTTTCAAATTTAAATATAGTAATAAGGAAGTTACATATAAGAAGACTATTTCAAATGCTGTGCTGTGCTGGATGTTGGACTTTAGAGAAAACCATATTAGGCATAAGGAAAGTCAAATGTGAGTGTCATATCTCATTCCTGTGCCGGATGACTACCTTCAAGTTGCATTTCCCCTATACCAAATGCTGATGCATTTGTGCATACACACAGATGCATTTAGATATGACATCACTATTGGAGTTATTCTTATTAGCAACCTTTGATGTTAGATCATGGTGTTTTATCAGGAAAACCATCATCTAAATTCTTTCATCACAGTAACAGATTAATGCATTTAAATGAATTTATGCACAATTAACACCCTTTTCTCCGTTTTCTTTCCTGATGAAGCACTCCCATCAAATCCAACAATTGGATGGAACAGGATGAAACCCTTCAGGGGTGGTTGGGGCCACACTAAAAAACCTTAAACCAAATTAATACAAATTGGTTGAAATCTCAGTGCTTTTTCAAAACCAACTAGTGAAATGGACTATGTGGGCCAGACAAAATGAACCAATGGGCCAGATCCAGCCTGCAGGCTGTCAGTTTGACACCCCTGATTCAAAGGAACGGTGACCACTTTGAACATGTTTTTCAACATTAAAAAACTTTTTGAGTTTGTCTATCAGTTGACATGTAATTCAATTTCTAGCTTAATAAATAATGGAAATATAGGTCAATAAAACGTGAAACATTTTTGTGCACCACCCTGTAGATTACTTTTGAATTATCAACACTATGAATTCAGTGCACCACAAGGGATTTGATATTCATATTCCAGACCTTGAAAGGGTAGCTGAATATTTACCAAACTTTCATAAGTAATAACGCACACACTTTAAGGAGGTAAAAGGAGGAGGCTTTAAGGAGGTGGGGGTAAATGGGGATGGTAAATGGAATTCCTGAAAGAAATGCTGTGAAGTGTTGACCATTTGTGAAACTAGCCAATGCATATTCCATTCATAATGCCTGTATTTTTCCATTTTCCATAATGTCTTCATTGAGATAGCATATAGGGGTTGATGAAAAAATTATACCAGCATAGAAAAGTTTGTTTTAAAGAGACATTTGTCCCTTTCAGGAGTATCATATGGCTCCAACACCAATATCCTGATGATCATACTTTCCTTGTTCAAGGTGAAGCATAAAAACTTACCCCTAGATTGGAGTAAGTGTGATCAATAAAAAATAATTATGATGTCATTTAAAAAATGTATACAAGCCTTACATACCTATTCTTCAAGTGCAAAGTCATCATGTGGACTGCCTTGGTTGAATCATGTCATGAACTCTCATGATTTTCTTGGTCCTTTGGAAAACCTTTTCAATCTCCCTTTCCTGCCATAATATTTTGTTGAGGAAAGTGAAACTTATTCCAATAATGTAATCATTTCATAGTTAAACTTCTCATGTTTCAAAAAAATTGTCAGATAAATTGTTAACTTTGCACCATTGTTCTAATATATTCATGTTAGGCTTAATCAGGATATCAGAATTTTGTAGCTCTGGAAGTAAGGTAATTGTTTCATTTTGTGCCATGAAAATGGATATGATTTCAACCTTTATTTTTTTAAATTATGAAACTAGGGAACAAGGACAAGAGGCTGATGGGAATGTGATAGATGTAACTATCCCACTGCAATGCCTAGTCAAGGACTCCAAGCTTATCATCCATGATGTTCAAAAGGTGATCTCTTGTTTATGCTGACATTGCATTATATACAATTTGATTTCTGCAATTATATCAATCCCTTCTTTCTAAAGAGTCAATTGCCAGGTTTTTATGATCCTTGCATTGGAGAAGAGAAGACTATTCAAGTGGAATACCTGTTCCGGGGTCAGCATCATCATGTCATAGTCAATGAATCTGAACCTCTACGAATCCCCAAAATGTGTGAGTTTGTCATGGGTGGCTTCAGGAGTTACAAGATTTTGAATCCACACCTAATAGCAAGGAGATAATGCATTCATTTTTCATTGAAGCTCATCGAATGGAGAGGAAATGAGGGATGGGCAATTCCCATTTTCACTTCAAGTGTCTGCAGGGAGAAGAATTGCAGAGAGAGAGAGAGATTGGAGCTCTCTGCTCATAGTAGATGCCATGATTGGTATGATCCCTACAAGTGCTTATAGCTTAATAAAAATGATGCTGTAACCTTGTTTATTTTGCTTGATTTCTCCTAGTCCCAATAGTAAGTATGCATTCCTGGATGAGTTCTATGATGAAGCATTAGTTCATCTCAATAGTTTGGCTACTGGAAAAGGTTTTTTAATGCTACATTTGGTTACTTCTTGTAAGAAGCTATTAATTTATGCTTCATTTTCCAGGACTGATCTTGGAATAACTTTGGAAGTATCCCAGGAATCCATTTGAGGGATAGCTCAAGGGATAGCTTCCATCCCTTGATGCATGGGACTTTGTTTTCAGTGTTATTTACACTGGTGTTCAAAAAAATGGCAACATGACTTGAAATGCTATTTTTAATTATTGCTAAGTAACAAAAAAAATACATCCGGCATAATCCGGCCCGGCAAACATAATCCGGCCCTGGAGTCCCACTGTGACTGCGAACATCAATGTCAAAACATGGAACATATTGTTCAAAACTGCCCGCTTCGCTTATACGCTGGCAACATTTCAGACATTCACAAATTCACCCTAGAAGCCTCCTGGCTTAACGACTGGGACATCAATAGGACATTTACGCATGACGTCACCGATCGGAAGACACTGCCTCCGCGCCATGCTGGAGTACAAGCAGACTAAGTTTGGCAAGAATGACAGTGATATTTTGCTCAGCTGTGGTGAATTTCTCGGGTCTGTCCAGGTCTGAGCAAAAACCCACACTTGCAAAGGTGGTTCCCCGAGCCTTTGAGTGTGACGGACCTGCAGATATGTTTTCACCAATTGGTTGTGTGGTAACTGTACAGGCGCACTTAACTCCATGATTAAAAAAGTAGCCCAAAATAGGTGTCCTCGCCATAGTACTCTAGATTGGGTTGTGTCGTTAGACGTGAGAAGGTAAGACCCGAATTTGATGACGTATGATGTTCTAAGCAGAAGTACGGGAGAGGGAAGTGAACACTGTAGTTTGAATTTCTTATCAAATCGTGGACTCTGTTATGTGGAGTCTCTTCTTTTGCAGGCCTTCTTTTCGAAACAACCCTTTAACGTTATGACTTACCGTTGAAAAGATACGACACGATGTCATTGCACAGTCAAGGAATAAGAATAAAAACGCCTTAAAAAAATTCAGCCATGACTTGCAGGCGCTATTGCGACAAATGGAACGCATCGCATTTTAGACCAGAACTTGACATCCTCCACTAGTCTATCACCGGGCTTCAGCGCGTACGAATCACAGTCCTCGCGCATCTTCATCTCAAATAACGGTCTTTTGCCGTGCCTTTCAGGGTCTCAAAATAGGCGGGAAAAATGGTAATCATGACGCAGACTTGAGGCTACACCCGTAACATATACAGGGCCGGATTAATCCATAGGCCTTAGGCCCTCCATTCCATTTTTTTTTGCAATATGTAATCACTGAACATATACCTATCAATCGAAACTCCCGCTCCCCTGTACTCCAGCAGGGCTGATGTGCGCTCCGCCCCGTTAAACATCATCTTGACGTCAGTGAAAAAGCCCTATATACAGGGTTGGGTTTTTTTTTTTAGCGCAACCCACGGAAAATGACATAACTTCCTACATTGTAAAGCTAGCAAGTTGAAATTTGGCATGAACTAAGATGAACTAAGATCCAACCATGCATGACCCACTTTTATTGCAGCAGATGCTAGAATTGATCTCGTTCTCTGTGCACAATTCAACACGACGCTGCAACTTGTCAAAAGTACGGCATAGAACATCCAGAGGACTGTCCCAAATACTGCTTTTAATGTTCTCCTGTAGCTATGAAATGGTGCGAGTGTTGTTTCGGTAAACAGTAACCTTCAAGAAACCCGAAAAGAAAGTAATCGAGAAATCAGGTGATCTTAGTCGCCACAGGCCCTCACAGAACGACTGAAAGTGCTCCATGCTCCTCTCTGAGGTAGGGCATCTGGAACCATCTTTCCGGAAGTAACCTTGGGTGAGTTCAATGTCTACGAACTTATGGACGAATTCATCAAAACTTGAAAAATCAAATCCTCAATCTTGTGGTTACTGGAAGGAAACTGCTTACCGCAAAAATCCTCACACCATTCTGCAGCATAAGGAGAACATTAAAGCAGCATTCGTTACATTGCAGTACTTCGCCGTACTTGTGAAAACTTGCAGCGTCGTACTTAATTGAGCATAGAGAACGAGGGAATCAATTCCAGTATCTGCTCCAATAAAGGTGAGTCTTGCATGGTTGGATCTCGGTTCATGCCAAATTTCAACTTGCTGGCAGTCAGTTTTTGATCCAGTCATGGACATTTCATGTAGCATTAGATATATTTATCAGGACCGCCCAGAGGTCCGGGGTAAAACTAAACCAGAGGCCCCCTCAAGGCCCCATGATACGCGAGGCCCGGGGCAGGTTGCCTCCAATGCCTTCCCCTCTGGGCGGCCCTGATATTCATATGCAGTTCATGTTTTATTTTTTTGTAGGCCTAGTCCTCCACAATGCTTTGTCGTATAAAAATAGTTTTGATGTTCAGAGACAGTAATGTGCCTGATCTTGGCATACGCCAGGTGTTTAGATATTCTGGCCACTTTAAAAGTTTTATGGTTCGCTTTCAATATAAAATGTGGCCATTATATCATCCATGTTTCATGAATATTGTTTGCATGCACCATATTTTGAATATTTATATTAATATGAAATATCAAGAAAACCCTTTGAATAGTACGATATTTGCATAAGATTAATTTATTTCCAGCTGTGGGATGATATAGTGTTAACCAGGCATTCCACTGCTTGAAGAGATGTCAGGAAAGAAGAGACTCAAGAGGTCACTTTGTGAGAGGGTGATATTGACTCCTGAAGTGTATGCCATCTGCCTGGAGCATGCTCTATCCACATCCAATGAAGTGATGGGTCTCCTTGTTGGACAGGCACTAGTCTTTTTTCATCTTGAATTCATCCTCCCCCTCTCTTAATTAGTTGCTCATGCTTTGCCAGAAATGGGGATGTCATTATAGGTGAGTGGAGGTGTGATGTCAATTGTAACAATCATTGTACTGGGTCAAAGTGATGCCACAGAAGATCGAGTTGAGATCTCCCCAGAAGTACTCTCATCTGCTTCTGAGAAGGCTGAGGAATTGGCTCAAGTCAATCATTTTCCATTACGTGTTGTTGGCTGGTATCATTCTCATCCTGAGATCACTGTACCACCTTCACACATAGGTTTTTTTTAAATATTTTTCTTCCATCCTCTCTTGAATCTCATGACCAATTCAGTAAATTTCTTGTCTGCAGATCTGGAAACTCAGATTGGGTATCAGAGCTTGGATGACAGTTTCATTGGCCTTATTGTTTCCCTTCAGTCACACCAGGTAATGCTTTATAAAATAAGTATTATCATTCCTCAAGCTAAAATGTTTTTTATGAATAATTTTCAGCCATGCTTGATGTGGTGATAGGTAGTGGTTTATAAAGTTTACATACATGCATTTTAAAAAACCATGCTTACAACTGAAATGGGATAAGGTTTAAGCTGAACAAAGGTGATGCTCCAATTTTCCCAATCCTGGAGAATAGACTTAGGCTCAGCGTGTCAAATGCCTGCCTTCTTGTGACAAAGATTTTTAATTTTGTCTGTCCCTCTATATGAAGCTTGCCAATTGGTCTTCTGGCAGTCATTTTGGACTAGAAGACTCTTTTTACAAGTCTCTTTGGTGGACATGTGGCAAATATATCCAAACCTAGGGGCTTAAGATCTCTTGATCCAAATAAATAGCTTCTAGACCTGAAATTTCTGATAGATGGTGTGATTCCCTATCTTCTCACAAAATTTAACTCAGGTAATCCATTTCAAGAACTTGATTTCAGTAGCTTGTATCTGTGACTTGATTCTTTTTGCAATAGCCCAGAGTTCATGTCATAGATGAGGGTAGGGCAGAAGATTTAATAAAAATCTAGAGTTTCAACTCCTTGGAAATGTCAGAATTGACAACCATGCTTTGCCCAAGTTTCTGCAAAACTGCAGATGCCCTGGAGATGCAACTGCTGATCTCATTTCTGTGTTGACTATCACTCAAGAGCCAAATCCCAAAGTGCTTCAACTTCCCCAGTATCTATACCTTGATACCACTGATATTGACACCCCCAGGGCCCAGGCTACACCTACTTATCCTGTCCATGTAGATAGAGAACAAAAAATGAGAGAGAAGGCAACCCTGGTGGAGCCCAACATGTACCAGGGATGAGTTTGAGCTCATCTAGCTCATCTGAATGCACTTCCTGCAATTGTTACATTAAGATTGAATAACCCACATTAACTGCCCATTTATCCTATACACCTCCAGCACTCTCCACAGCTTCCCTCAAAGCACTTTATCATATGCCCCAATGCTTCTTGAGAATCTGGTGTGGAGCAAAGAGGTGTTTCATGGTGTAGTGGCATGTATGAAATTTGCACTGTTCCTCTTGGATGGCTTCTCCAATGACTGCTTGACCTCTTGCACCAGGTATGCTGGGGAGAGTGATTCTATAGAAATTTGTGCACTCCCTCCAGTCCCTCTTCTCAAAGAGTAGCCACCACTTTGCTCTGCCTGTCTGTTGCTGCTATCTCATGATTCCTCTGCAGTTTTACATATGCTATACAACCTTGACCATCCATCAGAACTATTTGCTTTCAATGCCTCTGGCTTGGTTTCATTTGCACTAGGAGGCTTTCAATTCTTCACGTTAGCAATAGCTTGTAAAGGGTGTAAAAAAACCATAGACTCCTCTGTATCGTCCTAATAGTGATAGACAATATCTGATTACACTATGTGAAAGCTCATTTTACTCTGCATATTTCTTGTTTACATGTGAATATGCAATATGGCTTGCTCATAAATCAGAATTCTCAAAATGATAATATATGGTAAAATCTGAAGATAAAAGAATTTGTTAATTGCAATGAGGCTTACTTTAGAAACATTACATTTCCAAAGTGACCTAAAAAGTCCCAGTTCCTAAAATCATGCTGCAGTCAGACAAGTATGAATGTAAGAATGCTCTGCTCTAGTTTTGCTTAGGATCTGACTTCATTTTGCTTCGTGATGGCAGATTTAAAAAAAGTCCTACTTGTCAAATGCCCTTCTACATCTATGCAGAATAGCCATTACTGTTTGGAACTCATAACTTGAAAACTGGTGCTTTTGGGTGTATTGCTTTAACTCCATATCATTAGATCCTTCCCAAAGTTGTAAAACCATAAATTATTTTAGATTAGGTGAACTCAGAGGTATGTACTATGCTTTGGTTTTTTTTCACTGCAAGTAAATGCTTTTTCATGGATCTCTGAAAGTAAATCATGCACAGGTTGCCATTCAACTTCATCCCCCCCTCATTAGGAGATCTGTGTGATGGTGAAACAAAATGGACCTCATTCCTGAACTAAGGTTTGAATTTCATTTTTACTGGCTTAATCTCAATATTGCATGTGCCCATCACCTGGCAGAAGGGCCTTATGAGAAAGTGTCCACTTGGTTGAAATTTCTGGGATGTTATTTTGGTTGAAAGTAACATTCCCTTTCTGCAGAAGCCTGAGAACGTCTTGGACATTGCCCAAGTGACACATCTCCATAACCAGCACTCTTGTTTCAAAGCCCTCACTACTTAACAGCATTTGACGAACAATGTCAATTTCTTAGCAATGCAAAATGGCTAAGGAATCCCCTATACCTCAATGCGCCTTTGAACATTGAGCATGTGCTCAATGTTCAAAGATCAAGTGTAAGGTCTGATATTCTGTAAGCTTCCTTGATAGCTATTTCCCTTTATCACCTCTCAGAACATACTGTAACAGTTCTCCAAACTCTTCAGTTTTCAGGAGTTCAATACCAACTTCTGCCTAAATTTACTTCAATCCACTCCCTTTCACCTTCAAGTCATTAGCCCAGAAGATGGAGGTGGGCCTGGAGATGGAGATTTAGCCTGTAAATACATTAAATGAATACTTTGTTCAAAGATTAATCCCATTTTGCTTAATCATCACAGTTTTACTTCTAATTGGGGCTAAGTTTTTGTGCTCCCTGTACTTGGGTTCTGCTCCAAGTAGGGGATTGGCCCTCAATGCTCTGTCTCTTATGTTATATGCCTTAACCCTTGATGAGCTCAGCTGAAATATTTTGGAAATATATGACAATGGAGTCATTGTCAAGCAGTCTAAAGGTGGTTGCACCACAGACTGGGATGTTGCTGTAAGAAAAAGCATGGCCATTGGAGGTTTTGATGAACTTATAAATCCAAATATCTATTTGATTAAAGGTCCTGTGTTCTTTGAGTTATGCTTCTTGAAATTTGGGACTGAAGGGTGAATAGAGATAAAAGCACCATATCTGAAAAGTACTCAAGTTTTAACAACTAGAGAGGTTAATTAATTTGGGCTCTGGTTCTTGAGTGATGGGCAATATAAATATAATATTATAAAATGAGATTGAGAATCGCATCTCAAATGTTTTGGCAAATTTGCAGAAACTCTGGCATATCATGGTTGTGAAATAGGACATCTTCGAGGTGACAAAACTTTGAAGCTCAAAGACTGAAGCCTCCTTTAGTTAATAGTCCTTTAAGAAATCATGGACTCCTTACAGGTGAAAAAGAGACCTTTAGCTTAACAGCCCCTTTATCTTGTCTAGATAAGGTTTCAGCCTTAAGACCTAAATTTTTTAGAGTGTTTATCTTCCTACCCTCACCATTAGCCTTTAACTTTGGGTGATGATTGAAAGAGTCAGATCACATACACAATTTGCCTAAATGAAGTTTACAGTATGAGTAAAAAGTATTGCTACACCAGCAGACTAGGTTCATGGTTCGTTGTCCCTAAACTATGTTTCCTTCCATCATTTAAACAGCTTAAGGACTCTTCAATAATACAGTTAGTAAGACATAGGCTGTGTAACTCGAGCGAATGCTCTGCATGGTGTTCTTACAATGCTGACTTTGTTTGGGATCAACATCAAACTACATGAAGGTCCATGAGCTGTCTTTGGAGGTTCAGGCGAAAGCCATTGCATGATTGAGGCTAGAAAATCATAGAGGGAGGTTGCTGGCATTGTTGGAATGCACTCAGCAAGTGTCAGTCATTGGTAGAAACACCAGAAGTCCAGACAGAGCCTCTAGTCAAGAGCTTGTCCAAGACATCCAAAAGTCCTTTCACCCTCAGCAAAAGTGATCAGGTGCAAAAGTTTCAGGAAAATGACCTCCAGATTGAAGAATTTAGATCAAAGAAGGTCTTTCATAACAGTCCAGTGTTATCTTTAAAATGATCTTGGTGTCAAGGCCTACAAGAGGCCTAAGAAGCTTCTTCTTATGGATGCCATGAAGGAGAAGCATCTGAAGTTTGCTGTGGAGTAAAAATACTGGACTAGTGAAGACTGAAAATGTGTTGCATGGTCAGATGAGACTGTGCTTCAGCTTTTCCTGCCATTCAACCCACAGTGTGACAGGATCTGGAGCAAAAACTGTGCCTTTTCCCCTCTCATCACCACAGTCAAGCAGCCTCAGAGGATCATGGGGTAAGGGATGTTCTCTCATCAGGCTTACTCAGACCTTCATGTGATCCCACCAAAACAGTTCATGAGCAAAATTATTATCTGGAGAACATCCTCTAAAAGCCCTGCCTTGATGCCTGTAACAGAATGACCACAGGAGGATCTATTCTGGAGCAGTACTTTGTTGAAAAAAAGGCAGAGGCCATCTTCATGCATGACTATGCTCCTTGTCATGCCTTTGAAGCCACCACTGCCTGGTGTCAGAAGAACTTGCAGCATTCTGGGGGAAGGGTCAGATGCCAGGCAACAACCCTGACCTAAATCTCATTGAAAATCTCTAGCAGATTCTTGAGGAGGTCAAGATGAAACATGCCACAGGCTGCAAGGCTGGGTAGACTTCAATCCAGGCATTCACAAAAGTGTAGTAAGAAGTATTATTCAGCAAATGCAGTTGGTTATCTATATGAAGGGAGATTACATTAATAAATGAATTAGTTTCATCACACTCCTTGGAGGGGAATAATATGAATTTTTCCCCATGTTGCAATACTTTTGATCCATACTGTATGTCAGGTGGATAGTTTTGCTCATTGTAATAGATACAGAGAGCCAGGATCTGTGAGAGCCTTCAGGTCAATGTAGTTGCTTCTCCAGATTGAAAGATCTCAAGTCCAGTAGATTGGAGATGTGTTGCATACTCCTGAAGGACTCCCAGAAAGAATTCCTCAATCCCAAATGATTGGCACAAGACCAGTCAGTAGACTCTTAATTTGGACTGAGGCAATATTTAGGGGAGCTTTGTTATATGAGAGGCTCAGCATCCTTCTTGCCGAGCTTGAGTCTTTTGTGCAGGATCACAAATGTTAAAGATACTTCTGAGGCTGCTTGAATGGTGACTCCAATTGAATAGAATGGGCTGTCCTGAAAATGGAAGAATAATGCTGTTATTTATCCATTTTCTGACAATGCATTTTCTGGCCCATAAATGCTTGAAGAATAAAGGTGCATAAAGGCTAATTTAATATCTCATGAGATCCATTCTCAGAACTTCCAGTATGTTCTCTTAATGCAGTCATTATCAGAGGGGGGTATTGTCAAGAATTATTTATGAGGTCTTTGCCTTCCTTCAGTATCCGCCAAATGCATCTTGCAATTCTCTCTATTTTTTATGGGCATTGAAGGAACTGAGAAATCAATTGACCCCTAAATCATCAGACATTCCCCATGTGTAGTGTTGTGTCACTTCTCTGGAACTGAGGTAACCAGCACCTGAATTATTGACACACACTTGCAATCCATCTCACCTACACCCTTTCACTGCTAAGTATTTAGTAACCCAACTTTGCTGGGGTTTTTTGCTTGCTTCAACCCATTCACTGCTGCTCAAAAGTAAGGCATTTATGTCATGTGCTACTGGAAATCTGAAAGAAAGAAGCATATGTTGCATGAAGTGACTTTACTTGGTGCAAGTCACAATAGGGTCATTCCACGCCAAATCAACCAGTGAGTGAGCTTGACCATCTCAGATTTTGATTAAAAGCAGCATACACATAGAGGAATCAATTTAAAGAGACCTATTTCAACTAATTTATTTTTATCTCTCACACAGATCTCCTGATACATGCATTTTGATAAGACCAAATTTTCGCTCCCAGCGCCCATATGGACTGGAATTGTGCAACTGTTTCTGCAATAACTACCCCTTTCATTAAGATAAAAGCTTCATTCTGGTGTAATTTTAATCGTTAGACTAAGTTGATTCCAGACACTCCTCCTAACCTGGAACAAGAAGCTTCACTTCATCAAACAGTTTGATCAAGTTCAGTGGCCAATATCGAGATTTGCCACCTTGGGAATTCAGTGTCTCAATATTTCATTAAAAAGGGCATGGTATGCCATTCCTGACAATACAAAATTTGAGATTGACACTCAATGGCTTGAAGAGATATGAATATTTTTGTGTGCCAGTAGTGCCAAATTTCCACTTGTCCAAACACTTTGACTGACTTCAGTGACCAATACATGCACTTTCCACTCCATGAATCGCAACTTATAATACATCATTAAGAAGTGCCTGCTATGCCCTTTCTAAAGATACCAAATTCAAGGTTGGCACTCAATTGGTTCATGAGACATGACTGTGTATACTCAAAATTTTGCTTGTTCAAACAATCAGATTGATTTAGATGACCAACATTTGTATCATGTTTCCATGACTTTAAAGTTGTAGTATTCATTAAAAAGTGCAATTAATGCTGGTTTTAATGCTACACATTTCAAGATTGCCATTTAATGACTTAATTATATATGACTTTCTCACAGCAGTGCCAAAATTCTAACTGATCCAACAGCTGGACCAATTTCAGGCAGTGAAATCTGTATGAGACACTCCATGAATCCAGAGTTGTAATATTTACTTAAAAAGGACATGTTATGTCCTTTCAAATGACACCAAACTCAACATTTGTGCTTAATTGTGCATGAGATATGAACATTTAATGAGAACAGTAGTTCCTGGAGTTTCCCTGCAAGGGAATCATGGGAATGTAGCCTTGTGGTAAGCCGTGCAACAGGAGAAATTATTGAGAAATTAATAACACTGGATTCCCAAGGTGGCAAATCTCGATATTGGCCACTGAACTTGATCAAACTGTTTGATAAAGTGAAGCTTCTTGTTCCAGGTTAGGAAGAGAGTGTCGGGAATAAATTTAATCTCACAATTAAAATTACACCAGAATTTAGCTTTTATCTTAATGAGAGGGGAAGTTATTGCAGAAACAGTTGCACAATTTCAGTCCATATGGGTGCTGGGAGAGAAAATTAGGTCTTATCAAAATGCATGTATCTGGATATCTGTGTGAGAGATAAAAATTGGTAGGAATTGGTCTCTTTAAATCAATTCCTCTATGTGTATGCTGACTTTTATCAAAATCCAAGATAGCTGGCCTCATCCGCTGGCTGATTTGGCGTGGCATGACCCAATATACATTTTTTTTTCCTGCACTTTACTTGAGTGAATATTTGGTATCCCAGATCTTAAAACATGGTGTCGCACAGAGACCTGGTGAGGACAGACACCTGAGGCAGGAGTATCTGGATTCTCTTCTCATAATCTACCAATTGATTTTGGCTTGCTGTCATCACCATCCTCACTTTCTCATTAAATATAATGGTGTCACTTTCTTCATCATCAATAATTTAATCTTCAGAATCTCTGTGAGCCAATTCAATTTCCACATCTTTTTCTCTTAATGAGCCTGGTCTACTGGTAGACATAATCTTTGGAAGCTAATTTCCATGGAATAATGTCTTACAAATATGGTTATACCTCTTGTATCCCTTGCTTCAAAATTTTCCAAAAAATCCATGAGATGGCAGAAGGTCCCTGTGTGCTATGTGGACATCAATCAAGCCAGATGCTGTTGACGAGAGACAAAAGAAGTTAATAAATCCATTATGAGTTAGCTCATCAAGCTAGCACATAATGGGAGTTTGGGCATTATGTGTTACCATGTCATGTAAGCAGTGAATGGGTTAAAGCAAGAAGGCAAGTCTGTGTAAAATCCTAAAAAGCATTCATTGGACTTTCTGCTTATTTTCTGTTTTTTTTTCTCTCTAGACTCTCAGGTTTCAAGCAACATGTTTCCAAGCAAGGAGTATTTTAAATTTCACCATTGAGTCCATAACCATTCCCTTCTCCATTGAACCCTTGAGAGGAGCAGAGCTTGCTGGAGGTGGATTACGGCCCTCTGTGGATATAACAACAACAGCCATTGAACTGGAAGACAATGCTTTCCATGCTCAATGTATCCAAGGATCTCAGTTGTCACTTGTCCATAATCATGCAGGTCAGAGGTTATCATTTTGTTCAGTGAAAGATGATTTTGAAGTTGTAGTATACACAATGTAGGGTTCCTAAACTTCAGATAAATGAATCATCTAGAAATAGATTGATAGTAAAACAAACTCAAAACTAAAAAATTTATGATGAAGGAATTTCAAGTTCTTTTTCATTATTTGCATCCAGTTTCTTCATTCCTTTCCCTATGCAATTTCTGCTTTCCCTTAATTCAAATGATTAAACTATGCACACAAGAGACCATATAGAAGTAGAGATTCTTACACTAGAGATTATGGTGCAGAGGAATTGGATAGCTTTTTTTACTTAAATTTTATTGCTTTGAAGAGAAATCTGTTCAGTTGGAGATCATAGCTCCATAATTTATTATATGCCATTTACCTTCTTCAAACCCTATACCAGGGTTTGAACCAAACCTATACCAAACCTATAAACCTATTCCTCAGGTTATTGAGAACAAATGTTAATATTTGAATGTCAGAATATGATAGGAGTAGTGATGTAAGTAACTGGAAACATATGTTCCTTATGTGAAAGTGGCAACACTGCTCCAGATATTATGCAAAAACTTGAAAATAAATTATTGAAGTGGGCTCTTGCAGTTTTTGAGAAACTGTTCAGAGTATGTGGGATATGGCAAGAAAAGGACCAATGACTTTTAACCTATGGTATATCTACTCTCATGCTGCTATTTTCATGAAATTTTCTCAATGCATGTTAAAATGTCATCCAGATTCATTTTGCTGATGTTCAGCAACACTTTCTTCCGTTTACTTAGGACAAAAATAAAGCATCAGAGTGGCACCAAGATTCTTCATTTCTTTCTGCTGAGGATTCCATAAATTGAATGTACGCAAGTTTTTTGAGTCATTTCTGTTACTCCTCACATTTTTGTCAGATTCTTATCAGTTTGCTTAAGTTTTCCTCATTTTGTACCAATATCTGCTTTGAAGCTTTATGGTTCAATACTTGATCCACATTCCATGTCATCATATTTTGCAAATCACATTGCTTATCCAGTCATTTCACAAGCATCAATCTTGATGTCACATGTCAGGCATTTACTTCACATGCATTCCACACACTCACGCATTGATATCACATTTCATGCAATCAATATCAATTCTGACAGGAAGTTCAAGAACAATTTAACGAAAAATTTACTCTTTGTTTGCACAGTTAGCCTCAGAAGATTTTGGAATAATTTTTTTCATCATCAATAGATTTGAAAGGAATTGCCTAAAAATTCCCAAGTTTACTAATTATTTACTACAGACTTACTCATCTTTTTTCATTATTTTTTCATTTTTCTTAAAGGAAGTATAGGTACAAACTGATTTGAGAAGTTATAGTGCATATTTGCAACCATTTATAGCATGAACTGTTCAATTTTTTCATGTCTTCCCAGTAGCTCAAATCTTGCTGAATTTCATTTAGTATCAAACCTGTCTTATGTGAGAAGTGAGAAGATCTGGGCCTGTTCTTGCCTCTGCTAAATTTAATCTAGAATCTAAATCTAAACCTAAATTTCACCTGAATTTCTTGTAAAAATAAAAAAAATTAGCCATTGGTCCATTTCTTGTCTTTGCTAAACTTAATCTAAATCTTAACTTAATCTAATCTAAAAGCAGGCGAAGAGTCTGGGCAAATAAGAGGCAAAAAGCCTCTTTGCCCAGACTCTTGCTAAAACTATCTTGAAGGGGGAAGATTTTTTTGACAGGTTCAGCCCAGTCATCTAAATGTTGGGATAATGAGAGAAAACTACAGAAGCTCATTCTTTCATAACTTAATCAACTTTTATTGATTGATAGTCCCTTCCTCATTCACCCTAGATATACTTCTGCATAATTTTGTGGCTATTGCAGAACTGGAGCCTATTTTTTTGCTGCTTCTCTAAGGTAAAGAATAGGTTCTTCTTTTATGGTTTTCTATCCAAGTCAACTGTATTTGTGAGAGTCAATTTGAGATTTTCATGGTCCTCGTTTAAAATTTTCTGCTTGGATTTGATTTCCAGTGTGGTTTTTTAAGCCATATATACTATATTTGCAACAATTACCATTGTTGGTCATGACATTTATAGTGTCAAATTGGCAGACTGCCATGATCACACTTCCAATCTAAATTGGTTTACTTTCGCATTCCATAATGGGCATTTCTTGCTAGCAGGTAAGTGTTCTTTCAGTACTGACACAGCTTGATTCTGATAGTCTACTACTGACATCTTGAAGAGCACCCTACAATACTTGAAGTTCTTATGCTGTCTTTACTATTGTACAATGTTTTCGCTTCAATATCAAGTCCTTGCAATTTCCTTATGTTTTCCTCCTGGAAGAAGAAAATTACCATTACTGTTCATGCAAAAATATAATTTCCTGAACACACCAAGTGTTTGCTCTGATAAACTATTACCAGAATGTATCAAGCATTTGCTTCATTAACATGTATTCATGTGATTTGGATGGATACCTTCTAGCCAATTTTTTAAATTCAAAAGTGAATTCCAATGTTTTCTCTTACACTATAAAGGAATAATTTTATCATGTTGAAGCACTGAGACAATTAAATAAATTGTAGATACTAAACTCTTTCATAGTAACGTTCCTCATGAAAGGATTCCAATATTCTTAATGAAGTAAGGATTCATCCAGGAGTTTCTCAGGAAAGTTCACTTTTGCAATTTATCAGTAATTATTGTTATTGATATTCCTTATGTGGCTTTGTAAAACTGTTATTCCCTTTTTTGTCATATAAAAATGTATTCATAAGAAAATATTGACCAAATTTGAAATTTGACATTCACCTGAAATAGAATATGAAAGCCAAGGAAGTGTCAAGTTCATTTTCAGAAATGTTTAATTATCTTTCATTTAGTTCATATTCTCAGGTTAAAAATTCCTGCAGTTTTCACAGAGAGCCTGTGCTGCATATTGAGAGACATCAGCTATCCTCTACTGAAGGCTCTGAAATGGAGAACAACCACAATCAAGATAGAAAATTCATTCCTTCAAAAGAAAAAAATGGCATTGATCTGATGAAAGAAGTTGAAGTGGCTGGGAGAATGGTCCCAGCCATGAATTGTTCATGGTTCATTTGTGAATGAATTTTGGAAAAGGTTATTACCCGACAGGTATCACTCATGTCTTTGCATTAATGATATTATAAGAAATGGTTGATACTTAACTCTACACTGCATGGTGTGCCAGATATGGCACACTCAGCTTTGCATTGAAACGCATTACAATACAATGGAAAAACCAAAAGGGAAGGATGATTTTTTCATTATTTTTCTCAACAACATATGAAATATGATCGTCAAAAATGTATTTGGTACATTTAAAATCATCATGCATTTTAGGGTTACCATTTGATTTATATCTTCTGAAATATTTCATTGGAAAGTAGAATTGCATCTGACATCGGCAAAGTTCAGCTGTGGACGCTCCCCATGTGTCAGGAATCCTGTAGAAACTGGATGCAGATTGGGTTTGAATCGCATCTCAAATTGGAATTCTCTCAACATTGCCTATGTGTCATATGGTTTTAATATTCATGTCAAAGTGGAAATTGTAAGACAGAATACACAAGCGCTTCATCAGTCGATTATACGAACCCCTTCAGCTTTAGACAATTTTATCTCTGCCGTGCATTCTGGAACCACCAGTGAGCCTCGCTAAGGTGGTCAACTTATTTCAAGGGTGAAAGTGATCTATTGCAGAAAAAATCCGAAAAACGGAAAAGTGGTCTATATACGCGGTACATAAACCAATTTTCATTGAAGAGAGTATACTGGCGTCCAGAAGAAACGTTACAAGATAGTTTAGAGCTCGCCTGCGTGGTAGGAGTTGTGATTGCATTATATCTGTCTTTTGCTGAACAAGCCAGCACCGCTTGAACATTATTACCGCCAGTGTTGGGCGGTAACGAAATAAAAGTACCGCGTTACAGTAACTAATTACTTTTTCAGTAACTTTTTTGGTAACGAGTTACTTTTCAGGAGAAAAGTATGTGGTTTTACTGTGATGCGTTGCTTTTCTTGATAATGAACTAATTTTGCTGAAAACAAACAGCGCTTCATGGTCACATTGTCTTGATGCAATATTTGGAGGGTAGACGGGTACATGAAATTGCCTGAGAAAACATGGTTTATTCAGTGCAAGTGTCTTGGCCGTACCTGTAAAAATATTTCGAAGTTTGCAGGTCAGGGACGAATTCGAGAGTTCCATCAATGTAGTGGCATAATTTATGGGAGCAGCCCCCCCCCCCCCCCGACCCTTCAGCCAAAGTACGCCGTTGCATCGATACAAACTGTAGATACTGATGCAATAAAAAGATCAGAATTTTTTTTTCAGGAAAAGTAACTTGAAAAGTAACTTCTACTTGTAACTGTTTCTTTTGGTGAGAAGTAATTCTACTGGTAACTAGTTTTTGGATGGAATACTTGTAATTATACTTAGTTACTTTTCGCAAGTAACGCGCTCAACACTAATTTAGCGCTTACTCGCGAGCCTGTGCAAGCTAGTGCAAACCCACAATTGCTGATGGTCATTTTCAGGGGTAGATTAACTAGCAAAGGTTGAATGAGCTAAGTTGTTCAATTATCCTGTGTAGGACTATTTTCGAAGCATAGTGCTACTTTTTCTCGCTTTCACAGAGCAAAGACATCGAATCAGCTGAGCGGCACGAAGTTTCTTTATATAGGGCTTTCGTATTTAAACGCAACATATGGAATATTTTGCCGCCTGGAAGTGGAGGTTGGCAAACGCTATAAGGCCCACCGGGTTGCCTATCTGCAAGGAAACCCCATTGCAGTGATAGATTTCATCCTTCCAGATATGCAACTCAGTGAGCTATTGGGCACGCGCTGAACTCCACTGACAGGCGGCAAAAATGTCCCTATGTTGCGCTTAAATACAAACACCCTGTATATGGCTTTTAGGGATTCCATAATGAGAGCGAAAGAATTCTCGACTCACTTCTCTGTCAATTCTATCATGAGAGCCATTTTTAGCGTCTTGACAAAAAATTAATTGATGACGCAGCTAGCCGCGGGAAATAATTTGCTAATTTAGTTTCTGATTAATAGGGAATTATAGGCCTGCAAGGAGTTCCCTGAGAAATCCTTATTTTTAATTCGTTTGCTACATTTGTTTTATCATCAAAACTATTTCACTTACGAGGACGTACGAGGGGCAAAAGTGTGCTGGACAAACTTGATCATGGCTTCGGTATTCTGGGATCATTCCGGTGTAATTCATGTGGATTTCTGCCCAGAGACTCTACCATCAACATTGCCTACCTCTGCAACGTCCTACATTGCATTTAGGGTTGTAAGATTACCGGTAAGGAAGTGGGCATTACAACCGGTAATTTACAAGTAATCTACCGTTAATTTTACCGGTGTACCACTAGGTTGGCACAGTTAGCCTAGGTTGACTAGGTTGCCTTTACTGCTAGAGTGCCATATTCAGTGAATTATTTCAAGTAGGAAAATCCTCTTTTATAGCCAAAGCAACATCCCACTTAATAAATCTCACGAGAGAGACAAACTATAGTAGAAAACTCTTGTGATGTGTATGCAAAAAGTGCTGCTATTGGTATAATAAGCGGCAAAAAAGTATAGGTTAAATATTTTGAATATATACATTAAATGCCTAGATGTCAAAATTCGACTCTTCTAAGTTTTGAAATGTACAGGGTGACCAGAAAGTTCCCGGACACTTTAAAAAGCAAATATTTTTTTTAAAGCAACAATAACAATCATTTTCACCAGAGAATATGATAGAATAGACAATTTTTAAACTAATATATAAACATTTTTAAAGTGTCCGCCCTTTGCTTTGATGCACTACGTCAATCGTTTTGGAAACTGATCAAAGGACTGCACGCAACGTTTCGACTGGGAACCATACCGTCCCTCGTCGCGATAAGGGGGGCTCGCAGAGACTCCAAATTTTTGTGGGGCTTAGCACAGACCTTGGCCTGCAAGATACTCTAAATGGAGTTGTTCATTGAGTTGAGGTCAGGGGAGTTTGGAGACCAATCCATTCATGATATGAAGTCAGGAAAATGGTCTCCACACCATTGTTGCGTGAGTTTTGCTTTGTGGGCGGACAAGTTTTGTTGGAACGTCCAGGATCGGTCTACAGAGTGCTCCAGCGACCATGGCAACACGACGTCTTCAAGAATAGCGCGACAGTAGGCCTCTTTATTGATTTTGACGCCTTGATTGATGAAAATCAAGGCGATTTTGACGGTTGCTGTGATACCCGCCAAAATCATCAGCGATTTGAGTTTTTTGCCCGGCTGATCATACGCATTTCTCCAGGTGACTGTTTCGCCCAAATCCTGTCGTTTAGGTTATTCCCTAGTAACACATAACATTGAAACAACATGGATTCACTGTTGATTCAGCATCCGGATGTTGAATCAGCATGGAATCGATGTCGATTCAATGTTACGTACTACTAGGTTTGTGCGGTTGCACGATGATGAACAGTTACTCGTCAAAGAACAGAATTGATCTGTGTCCCAGACGGACGAACTTCTGTTTCATCTTACGACATCTTTCCAGTCTTGTGGCTTTCATTTTATCGGTCAGGAGGTGGCAAAGAAGGCAGCCTATCTGGCTTGGCTTAGCAATAAGTCGCCTGATCTGCGTAATCGGTACACAGGCGCGAAAAACCTCAGCTCGGATTGTGCGCGAGGCTAAGGCTGAATCCTGGGAAAAGTTTGGTGAGAGACGGGAATCGAACTATAACAAGGCAAATAAAGTATTCTGGCAGACCATTCGCCGCCTTCGTGGATAGGACTTTAAACTCCATAGCTTAGAATTTCTTGCCAAATACACTGTAGCCCATGACAGACGTCAAAAGACCCCAAGTAACACAGCATGTTGATGAAACGTTTCCAGGCACTAGCTTTGATCTCGTCATCCTCAGTTCTTCCAAAGGTGACCTCCAGCGCGCACTCGATAGGTTTGCAGCCATGTGCGAAGTGGTTGGGATGAGGATTAGCGTGGCCAAAACTGAGGTATTAATGCTCTCAAGACAACCTGCTCAGTGCATTCTGCATGTTAGTGGAGTCCCACTGAAGCAGGTGGAGAAGTTTAAGTACCTCGGGGTCGCATTCACGAGTGATGGAAGGCAAATGTAGAGCTGGACACCCGGATTGCTACAGCTAGTGCCTGGAAACGTTTCATCAACATGCTGTGTTACTTGGGGTCTTTTGACGTCTGTCATGGGCTACAGTGTATTTGGCAAGAAATTCTAAGCTATGGAGTTTAAAGTCCTATCCACGATAAAATACTTTTCAGGGTAGGTGCTACCATAAGGAGAGGGGATGATATTAAGAAATGAACGTGTGATTGACACTAGATGGATACAGGCGATGAGAGAAGATCATTGGTCACTTGTACGAGTAGATCCACCCACGTATTTTCCTTCATTCAGGGGAATACTATCAAAAAAGTAAACTCACTCTGGTAAATAACGCATGATTCCTACTCTCGACACGAAAAATGTAAGTTATTTAAGTGTCAGCCGCCAATACATTTATTACGTATTATTACATACGATACATAGAATAAATAATTCGTTTTTGTCTCGGGTTAGAAAATCTCTGCAAATCTCATACCTTAATATAACATGAAGGACATGGAGAGATGATCCAGTGATCTTGATGTCTTCAGTGGTCTTTCAGATTGTCATCAACTCTTTCAGGTAAGAAAACGAAAAATCAGTATAGCGTATATACGGAAAAACTGCTGAAAACCAAGAAAAAGCGATTCACTGGTAATTAATTCTGGGGTTATTACTGGTAACCCGGTAACGTTATATCGATAGTAAACTTACCATGTTACCATTCCCAACCCTAGTTAGGATGTAAAGTTACCGGTAGCAAGGTGGGGATTATAACTGGTAATTCACAAGTAATTTACCGGCATTTTACCATCGAATTACCACCTGGTTACCGGTGCCCCAGGAAAGCAACGTTAAATACATTTTTTTCTTGCTGAATATTGGGACTATCCCAATATTCTCTTCTGCAGTTCTAGAAAGCAAGCATCATTTTACTTGGGTTGTGTAAAGCTTCAGCAGATAATTTTAGGGCTGTGGAAACAGACGTTGCTGCTGAATGTTTTCCACTTTTGGTATACAGAGCACTAAAATATGGTATAATCTGGAAAAAGAGCGGTAAGGTACAGGTTCTAATATACAGGGTGTCCCACTCGCTTTGGTACCCAAAAAAGGGCAAATAACTTTTAAACTATTGTACGTATTAAAACGAAATTTGAACTTCACGTACCTTACTCTATGACAATCAAAATGATGTGCTTGGTCGCACTGTAGGCGCCAGAAAACCGTGATAGCAGGCGGAGGAGTCGCGCCTTCCTGGCGACGCGACTGTCTGGCCTCCATGGCGCCCGTTTATTTGCAACCAGTTGGACGACGAAGAAGTCACCATGGGTTACTTCCAGCTGGATGGTGCCACGTGCCATACATCACGGGTCAGCATGGCTGAAATTCAGGCTTTCTTCGATGACAGGGTTATCTCCAAGGGACTTTGGCCGCCACGTTCGCCGGATTTAACACCGCCTGATTTCTTTCTCTGGGGGTACCTGAAGGGGCGAGTGTACCGGAACAAGCCAAGAACACTTGCGGAACTCGAGGCCAACATCCGGCAAGAAATAGACGCAGTGGATCCGGATATGATAGCACGCACCTTCCTAAACATGGAACGTCGTGTCCAAGCATGCTTGGATGCAAACGGCGGACATTTCTATACCCATAATAAAATGCTTCAGATTCAGATGTGGAATGATGAAAACCCAGATAAGAAAGCCATTCCACTTTGCCCCAACATCCGGCAAGAAATAGACGCAGTGGATCCGGATATGATAGCACGCACCTTCCTAAACATGGAACGTCGTGTCCAGGCATGCTTGGATGCAAACGGCGGACATTTCCAACATACATCGTTTTGATTGTCATAGAGTAAGGTAGTGCAGTTCAAATTTCGTTGTAATACGTTCAATAGTGTAAAGGTTATTCGCGCTTTTTCGGGTACCAAAGCGAGTGGGACACCCTGTATAAATGATAGACCATAGATGTCAAAAACCCGTCTCTTTTAAGTTCTTAAATGCCCTCACAGCAACTCTAGATGTGAAATTCTATTGTTCATTTGCTTGAAGCAGATAATGTAACTACTGAAGAAGAGACAGAAGTTTGGTAGCAGTCGAAGCAGAATCACCTTTATTCTTTTTTTTATAGCAAAACATTGGAACTGTTAGTTGCATGAATGATGTGGTGTTTGAAGGTGCTTCATTATTTACAGTATCTTGCTGCGTTTGAAAAAATTAAATTGTGTACAGTAGCGAAGTAGGGAAAATGTTATTTGGTGCAGAAATGAGTGTTTCAAGAAAACCTAGAAGACATCGATGACTCTTGTTTGGCATACCTTGGATTATTGATAGTGATATCAATGCATCGACCTATCGTGACAGCCCTATAATTAAACTCACCTCTGCTAAGAATACTGAAATACTAATATATGAATCGATTGGTACCACTTGTAGGATTATATGGAATAGGCTTAAATAAATAAATTACTGGATTCTGGATCAAAGCCTGAATATTTGTCAGCTTACCCTTGCCAAACGCTAGAGCTTAATATAAGACTGCTTGAGATTAAACTGGAATTTTAGGCTAAGCGCATAAGCATCACCCACTGCACTGATGCAGTTGCGGTCGTAGTTTGTGAGTCACATTGAAATTGCATATGTAAATGCACGATTCCACATAAATGATATGAAGTAGTAGCGTACCCTAGTTGAAACATTGAAACAGCGTTGATTCAATGTTATGTTAGGCTATGTTCCTGCACGGTATGAATATCTGAGAGAAATTTGACTGATCACCTATTCATCAGTAACATTGAACCTGAGTTCAATGTTGATGGAAAACATTGTTTCACTGGCACCTAATCTAGACCTATCTTCCGGCTCTCCGGGAAAGCATACGCTTCACTGGCCCTGAAGTGGACCGATATTCTGCAAATATTGAATTATTTATTTCATCATTTCGTTTCAAATATTCTATACCCAGACGTTACCATCAACAGGACGAAACCTGTAATGGTATAACTCCTAACCATACATAATACAATATATAGCATACTGTAGAATATATAGGCAAGAACCATAATACATTTCTGGAGGTAATCATCTATCGGATGCGCTAAATATGGTACGTTTCAAGAAAAGGGTCACCAGGAATGTTCTAAGGAGTGTCTGCGAATTCAGTTCTTTTTCTCATCTACTTCCCATTTAGGATGTAATCAAGGAGTTCTTGGAATGAGTTCTTTTTGGGAATAAGAGCTTGTTTTTCTGGGCCCCATGAATCTGCATCTGAGGATAACAAGTGATAAAAGTGTCCGTGTTCATTGATTCCTGGAATGAATTTGTTTCAGCAAACCCATTATCATTCTGTATTGCATTTTTTATGTTTCATCTTTCATCATGAACGTGAAACTATAGTTTCATTGGAATATATTCCAATTCTAAGTTTCATTTTCGTATGCATATGGCTATGACGTTGAGTATGACTATGACATTAAATTTTTTTTTTAAATCTCATTGATTCCTATAAGATACACTAGATATGGTAAAGTACTAAACATTCCTGTGTGGGATGATTCCAGGAAAGGGGCATTTTTGCGTATTGCTTGGAAAGCGAGACCTACACCATGTCGTGGCAAGGACAAATTTTAAATTCCCTAAAAATTCTAAGTCCATGTTGTGTCGGAATGTCGTCGCTACGTCAATGTCGATAGCAAATGTTGCAATAACATTCGTAGAAGTGTCGCAGCAACATTCCAAGGGAGAACGTGGAAGCAATGTTTTATCAATATTTTAAATCAATTTGCAACATATAGCAACATAGGCAGCATTTCGGAAGCGTTTAATCAACATACTGTGTTGTGTTGTATGTTTTATCATGGAGTCCTATGAATTTGAAGAATGTTACATTTTTTTTAGTTGTGGCTGATGGCACTGGCATCTGGCACTTATGCCAGATGTATTTTAGGTTTTTCGAGAATATCTAAGAATACGCTAGAGCATGATGCAAAAATTATATCTTTGTTAATAGAACAAGCTTTCCAATGGTACCAACGATTTCTATTCATCTCAATTTTTATTTTTGCTTTCTCTTAATCCCGGTATGTATACCTAGTAAAATTTCATTGATTCAACTGAGAGACATTTCTATGAATATAAGAGTACACTTTGTAACTCTAGTTCGTAATTCGTCGCTCCTCATTCAATTTTCCCTGAATGGGAAAAAAAAGTGAAAAAATATTAGGGGAGACCGAGGCAAAGTGGAATGGCTAAGCAGTTTTCCGTTAATAATTCCGTATCAATGTCGCAAAACATTGAAAATGCAGCCTCGTAGACTCGGATTTGTTGTCAGGAAGAAAGCACTGTGAATTTGACATGGAAAAAAAAGGAACGGTAATTTCAAGTTTCCCGAAACCATCGATGAACGAAAAATACTGACCATTGTTTTAGAACTCTCCACTTCTTGTTGGTACACTGTACCTTACCACTTTACCTAAGGTGTACGTCACCTTCCGACCCTAATACATAATTTCGATCGCATATCACCGCTGATTTAATCGTAATAATTATTAACAATTTCAATTTAAAATTCCACTCAAACTACTTAAATGCTGAAATACCCATAATAAAATGCTTCAGATTCAGATGTGGAATGATGAAAACCCAGATAAGAAAGCCATTCCACTTTGCCCCAAAGTACCTCCCACAGAAGTTGAGCTGTTCGAGAAATGTCGTAGCCACTACCGAAGTTGAGATGTATCACAAAATGGTCTAGCTATCTGTTCCCAATTAGATTCAAGATTCACCTACTAGTTATATAGTAAGAAATTACATCAGGAGGAGGAAAAGGGCAACTTTTCCCGAGGTAGACGAAATTTGTAAATTGAGTGGGCAAATTTTCATTGTTCCTGTTTCCTTGCCTCATGCAATGATCAAGAAAATTTAATTCCGATAAAATGCGCACTCTGTTTAGGCAGAAGACCTAACATTCCACTTTGCGCCGGTCTCCCCTACATTTTTAGTAGCCAATAATGGCAATGTAGATTACAAGCTATTTTCAACTAATCCCTTTCGGAGTTCTATTCATGCTAATTATTCATGCTAATTAGCTTGGGCATAGGAAGACTGATAACGCTCATCCCGTAAAATTGGGCGTAGTGTGATCGAAGTGTGATCATTTGTAATGTGTCTCTCCAGTCTTCACGCCTTATTCTTTCATAGGCTTCAGAGACTCAGATTCAACTACGTACCTGAAGCCGAAGCCAATCTTTCATGCTTGAAGTTCCGTCTATTGACAACATGGTACATTGGCTCTAATATTTCATGAATGATCTCTGTCCAATCCTCACTGGGTCTTGAAATTAGACTTAGAGATTGATACTGCATGAAAACAGGTGGCAAGAAAAAATTATTCGATCGTTACTTTTTGATTCAAACTCATACTTTCAATCGTCCTAGACCGTGAGTGATTTCATAAAATACTCCAGTGACACTGGTAAATAACACGTTTCCTACCATCGCACAGTGGTACGAAAGTCCGAATTTCTTGGACAAAAGTCGAATTTTGAAAATGAAGGAAGAAAAATTTTTTTGTCGTTAAAAGTTACGGATTGAAGTCCTTGTCCTGCATCGATATTTCTCCAGGCCTTCCTCTGGTCCTTTATTAGCCTTTACATGGTACTTCGCGCAGCTGGGCGCAGGAGATTTTGGGCTGATTTTGCTCTTCGTTAATACTCATTGGCTTATAAGGAACTCTCTGAGAAATCTTGAGAAGTACTTCAAATTCACTCGATAAATTTACCTTGTCATTAAAGTAGTTCATCGATCAACTACACAGGATCTAATAAATAACATGAGTTATGCATACACATCAGGAGTAAAACTGTACATACAATAAGCAAGACTCACTTTCAGGTAGACCTTCAGATCGCACTTGAAAAAACGACGATAAAGAACAGTCGTATTACGTGATAAACTTTTGTCACAATTTGGCATCAAGTCTCTATATTTTAAGGAAAGTTCAAATCATTGACCTTTGCACCATGTAGAGGCTAATAAAGGACCAGAGAAAGGCCTGGAGAAATATCGATGCAGGACAAGGACTTCAATCCGTAACTTTTAACGACAAAAAATTTTTTCTTCCTCCATTTTCAAAATTCGACTTTTGTCCAAGAAATTCAGACTTTCGTACCACTGTGCATCGATATGAAAAAAAAATGAAATAGAACGAAAACTCGACACCCTATCATCGGTGTCACAGCCGCCAATATACCGTATTTTTTTGTGGATTGGAACAAAGTAAACACAATTAAGGCCCCCGGCGAGCTCATTTCTCAGCACAACATGCAGAAACGCTGAGGAGGCCTTCATACCTTTCTTGAATAGTCAGGAAAAGTCAATGGGGTCAATGGACATGTCCTTGGACGAGGCTTTTAGTCATAATCAAGTGAAATCATCACTGGATCGTCCCATCCGTTCCACATTGAATCAATGATGGCAGGGCATTATTAGGAAGACATTGACTAGCCAATATTGGCAATATTTTCGAAGTAATTTTGCCTGCAGCCGATATTTGCCGAATTTTATTGCATGCAAACCTGGAGCCTTAATTTGCCGAATTTTATTGCATGCAAACCTGGAGCCTTAATTTGGCCTTTCTTTTGCCATTTGGATTTCGATTTTGCCATGGATTTCCGGAAAAAACATAATGCCAACGCCAAGAAAGGCAATAGCAGGTAGATGTGAGAATTACCGTGCGATAAGCTTCACATCATACGCTTCGAAGATACTAATGAGTAATATGCCGCAGAATAGAACACAAAATCGAAGAATTTTTGGCGAAAGATCAAATTTGGCTTCAGAAGAAAGAGGGGGACAATGGAAGCAATCCTGGCACTGAGAGTGATAATAGAGAAGAGGATAGGGAAAGATAAAGAAATATCTGGCTTTTGTCGACCTGGAGAAGGCCTTCAACAACGTGGATTGGAACGGGATGTTCCGGACACTAGAAAATAGGAGTGAAGTACGGTGATAGAAGATGGTGATAGACACATGGGTTATGCCGGAACCAGATGGCAGTGGTATGTGAAGAGAGTCAGAAGGAAGCAAGAATATGGAATGGAGAAAGGCAAGGATGTTCATAATTGAGACCAAAATTTTGCCAAAATTTTCTCCAAAACGTAAACACTTGTGAAGCATGTGAGCAATGACATACATCAGTTGTTCACTTCGCCATTACTGTTCTGCGCTGCAATTTTTTTTATTAATTTTTTTAACTATTATCCTAAAACGTGTCTGAGACTCTTCCAAATCTGTTACGTTTTCAATGCGTGGATGATGGCATTCTTCCAATAGTGTGTTGATTTGTCTGCTATAACGTATTAAAGTCCTTTTGAAACCTCCAAAAATCATAATTGAGACCTGTTATTAAGTCTATACATCTATACATACAGGGTAATTCAAAAGGAATGTAACACTTTCACATGTTTATAATGAAGTAACCAGTGAGCCTATATATAATGACGTGATGTGTATCATTTGTTTGGAAAACTCTCATAGTTTTTAATTAACGCCCTAAAGTACCTAAAGCCCTAAAAGGGCTTGCACCGCCAGGGGAGACCGTGTTGGAAAATGGCGACTCCACAGCAAAATTCTCGGCGGCGCAAGCGCAAAACACTTTCCCACGTCAATTAATGTCTCCTGCAAAGACCAACTCTGTAGCAACTGTGCAACGGCTGAGATTTGAAGAGAATTATAGAGGAAGACCTAGACTAGGGTATACACGACATCATACAAGATGGGAGTTGCAACAACTACAGAGAAATGAAAAGAATCGCAAAGCGGAGAGAGAACTGCGACAAACCAATCTGAGGATTGATGACTTGATAATAATGTCCTTTGCCAAGGGATATTGAGCAAATGCTCGTAGCTATATCCGATTTCATTTGCAACATTTGCTCCATATATACGATTGCTTGCATTCGGGATATCTCTGCTTTATTTCTTATCTGCTTATCTTCGAGTAAAATGGGATATATATGGAAGTGACGCTGTTACGTTAGAGGTGCGCTGGTGGAATATGTTGCTTTTGAGAAAACCAAACATTCGAATGAAATTTACTGGGGAGGTGAACGAGACACGTTGTAACGCAACCTTGATGCAGCTGTTGCGGCACAAATAGTATTGGTGGAAAAAATTATATCTGAATATGGAATTACTTCCATCAGAACTTTTCGAAATTTCGCCCCATAAAACCAGCTGATTCAAACCCAAACATTTTTTCAAAACCATTACTTGCAATTTATGCCACAACTGCTGCATCATGATTGCGTGATAATACTAATTCATCTCCCTGTGATTATCACTTGAATGATAATTTTTCTAAGGGCGAAATTTCGAAATGTTTTGACGCAATTCGAAATTCCATTGTTTTTTCTAGTCATCACAGGTAATTGTGCCGCTACTGCTGTATCATGGTTGCGTTGCAATGCTCATACTCTCGTTTTTTTTCTTTGAATCGGCCTGTTTTTTTATTGCGAAATTTCGAAATGCAAATGCTATTTCCAGATTCACATCATTTATTTTTTTTGACCAATGAAAACAGTTTGTGCCGTATCCGTTGTAAACTGGTTGCGCTACTAAATGAGTTTTCAGCCTCCCTGAGGATTTTTTTGCAGAAATATTAAGCGTCCTAAGTTGTTAAGTCATTCAATCCGTCTAACGTTTCGGGAAATTTTCCCTACCATTAGAGAATACTAAGATTAGTTTTTTTTTTGGTCATGAAATCATGGAATGCAAGGTGGGATTTGCAAGACAGCTCCAGCCTAGCGTAGAAGAAACTAAGTATCTAGTGTACTGTGGGGTGAGGTGAGAAGATGAAGAGAGTAGACCGGATTAAAATGGGACACTATTTCGGATTTCTTTGACCTCTTTTGACGGATTTCTTTGTTTTTAAATCCAACATGGATTTAAAAACAGCAAAGCATGTGGTGCGATTCCTGACCTTCGCTCTGGCACATATGACCGATCGAACATTGGAAAATGTAAGGCAGAATGGTTTACTGGATGTAGAGTAGCAAAGAAAACGATGAAGCAGGTTCTACGAATATTTCGAATGATCTGTGTGAACCTTTCACCTTCCCTCCAAATCTTTTACTAGGGTGATGTTGTATCGTGTATGTTAAAAACAATGTGTATGTATCCGCAACAACATTTAGACAAATTTATCAATCAGGAACTTCATAGAGAAGCAATTCTCTTTAAACAGGAAAGGAGGGTCTTCCTGGCGTTTCTTCTTTCTGGCTCACATTGGAAGTTGGTAGGCCTATTCATGCTCTTTCAAACGGTACATAGGTCAAACCAGCGCCCCCTGTGCGTAAACATACAATTTGTTCAAAAAGTGGTAACATAATAAAAACGAAAAAACCTTTTTGGGGTCCTGATATTTAGCGATATTTCAGGAGAGGCTTGACTGGAAGTCAAGCCGTATCCTGAAACGCAGCCGTATCGTGCGTGCAACAAGAAAACGTTGAACATTTCAACTCAAAATGGGAACGATTGGTAGAAGCGGAAGGAGGAGCAGCACTTAAATTCCAACATGGAATGATATTCGGTGGAAGAACTTTACCACAACGGCAATGAGTATAGATGAGGAAAAGGCTGGATTGCTGGTTAAACGGGTAGCCATGCTTGGTCATGCTTGGGGGGAGCATGAGCAAGAGAAGGTTTCAACCATCCTGGAGACGGCGGCCCAA